GCCGGCCCGGCCCCGCCCCGCCCTCGCCCCGCCTTCCCGCCACCGCCCGCTGGGGGCAGCACCTCTCCGGCACGTGACCGTCTCGTTCGCGGGGGCGGGGAGGAGTGCGGCGCTGGCCCGCCTTCCGCATCGCACAGCCAGCCCTGAAACCCCGCAACCTGCGCGCCTCCTGCTTGGGTCGCGGCGCTTCCGTTGCCTCTTCCGAGGGGGCGCTGCCCTCGCTTCAGAGAGTCCCCGCCGCCCCCGTCCCGCGATGGGCTCCCCACTCTGGGAGGAGACAAGTGCGGGGACCGACCATGCTTTAAACCCTGGTACTGTCTGAAGATAACGAGAAACACACGGGTCCCCTCTCCACAAGCGATTGATTTACAGTGACATCTAGCGGAGAAAGGGACACACACATGAACTGACACTTTCCTCCGTCAGGGAGCAACGGAGAATCCTGGCCCACGTAGGTTAGCGAGAATGAACACTGCACCACGGGGTGTAAGCGATTTGTTGCCAGCTCCCGCAGGGATACAAACACCATTTCTTGTCCTATGAGTTTCCGCCCGGGATTGCTCCTGGATATTTCTACAGCAGGTATCCCATCCCACGTGCAGCCCTGGGGTTACACGCGAAAGCAATTTTCTACTAACGTAAAAAAAAAGATCGTATATTGTGTATGCTTAAACACAATTTTAATTGAGGGCCTTCCGGCAAAAGACAATTGTTCCATGAGGACCATTTCCCCCCTTTTGGCAGTGCCCCTCTGCCAAGAGATCCCACAATGCTATTATAATAGTCTTTATTGTTGTAATGAACAAACATGAAGCGAACCTCCGTGCAAAAGCTCAACACTTTTTCCTTATTCCCTTACTAAGATACTTGAAGAGTTTGCACGTACTTAGGAAACAGTACTCTTGAAAACTGATTTTGCAGAGCTGAGACTTAAACACTGGTAATTCAGAGGATATTTGAATGACTTGTTTCTTTTATTCTAGCCTTTTCGGGTTTTGCCATTTTATAGACTTACAGATACACTTCAACTTCGGTTTTCTTGTCTCTAACCTAGCAAAATCAGGTGGTGTGTTTTTCTGAGACGTCATAATTTAATACAAATGGCGTAATTTCAGCAGGCTCACAACCAATTGCCCAATTCAACTAAGGGTATCCTCATCTGCTGAGATCCCACAGAAAAACACTAGCAACCGTTATTAATTTTTAAATGTATATCTCTAAATGGCAGCATTCTGTTAACAAGAAATGGCAAAACTCGATTTTCAAATTGAAAAAAAAAAAATCATGGGAACTCTACAGGAAATGTACCATTGTATTTCAATTGCAATTTTCTTTCCCACTCTCTCCTTTTAGAGTCAAAGATTTTTTTTTTTCTCAAGAAAGAAACACAAACATTTAGCTAACTGGCCTTGGTAACACCTTTATAGAATATAGTAAGATGGAATGACTACATTTTAGTGCTAAGTAGTAGAAAGCCTCTGATAAGGAAGAAAAAAAATCACATTGCTCTTTAGATAAAATAGAACAAAAAGAGAGATGAGGAGTACATAAATAAAATGTATACAAACTCTAGAATCCTTCATACAATTTTGTCAGTTTTATTTTTGCCCATTCTAGAATATTCTGTGTCCTGCTATCCCATAATAGATTACATAATGTCTGAAGAGCCCTTTCTTTCAATGTTGTCCAGTCACCTACATTGATTCCTTCATTTACTTCCATTTATTCTCATGAGGACTATCTTTCTCGTCTAAGGGGAGCTGGCCTGACCTTTGGGTAGTGCAACTGAGAGAGCCACCCTGGACTCCCACACTTGGGAGATGCTTTGGGCTAATCCACCTTATTCCTCTTTTCTGAGCTTCATTAAAATTTATTTTTGTTTATTTTGAGATTTCTATCATTACTGACATCTCAAGGGGCCTATGAAAGTGCAGACTCTTGCAGGACAGCCCTGGGAAAGGACATGGCTCTATTATCCTTTAACCTGTGTATCTGGTGGAAACTTTCCTTAAAAACACATCCAGTCTCTCAAATACCAAAAACAAAATAAGAACACGAAACCATTAAAAAACAGAGATTTGTACTTAAATCCCTTGGGTGATATACACACAGTAACTCCTGTGATTTACTCATGGGAAAGAATGATCGTGCTGATCATTATAAGGCATTCAGCACATTATGCTGAAAGATGAAATAATAACAAGGAAGAATGAGCACAAACCCACAGAAACTTAGAAAGGAATTTGGAACCAGAATTGGTTTACCAAGACTTAATTCTTCTAAACACATTATCTATTTCTACAGAGTAAAAAAAAGACCAGGGACAGGTATATACATATCTATATTTGAACAACACAGCTCACAAAATTCAGGATGATTCAGCAATTAAGTTATGATGAGTGTTCTGAATACCAGTTACTCTTTGGTCAACAGGGAACAAAAAGCATTTCCAGCTCCCGAAAAGTTTCCAGTGGAGGAAGGGAGGCCCTTGCAGTACAGTACAGGGCTGCTATTGGGAAGTGTTCTATGGGAATGTAGAAAGGCTGTCAGGGAGGCTTCCTCGAGAGAGTGACTCTTCAGTAAAGACTGAGATCCTAGTCGAGTTGGCGAGGGGAATGCCACTCCCCACAGAGGGAGCACCATGTGCAAAGGCAGAGAAGGGAGGGAGAACAGGGAACATTCCAGAAACTGCAAAGTGCGAAGTACAGAGGGACATGAGTGGGGGAGGGGGGCATGCTGAAAAAAGGAGGATAAAGGGCCCCTTAGAGTATACGAATATGTTTTGACTGTATCTGCAGGGCAATGAATCATTGAAGTGTTTAGGTTTTTTTTTTTTTAATTTACTTAAGTAATCTCTACACCCAACGTGGGGCTCGAACTCACAACCCCCCAACTTACAAACCCCAAGATCAAGAGTCCCTTGCTCTTCCAACTGAGCCAGCCAGGTGTCCCAAATCATTGAAGGGTTTTAACGGGTAAAGTGACTTCGGAAAATCACTCTGGCTGCTGGGTGGAAAGTAGGGTTGGGGGCAGTCAGGAGGTCTTGTCTTAGTCCAGGCGCCTGGGGGGAAGGCACAGAGGAGGCAGTGGGTTGAATTTGACAAGGGTCAAAGCAAGCATAATGCATGGAGAAAAGAGCAAAGAAATTGAGGATGGATTCAAGGAAGGGATTATATTGATTGATCATGGAACTGAGTCTCAGTCATTTTTTTTCACAGCATTCTTAGGCCAAAAGAAATACCTAACAGTTTCATTTATAAAGGAAGTAAGGAAAACTGAATGGAAAGAAATCAGAGAGGGAGACAAACCATGAGAGACTCTGGACTCCAGGAGCCAAACTGAGGGTTACAGAAAGGAGGTGAGTCGGGGAATGGGGTAACTGAGTGATTAAAAAAAAAAATTAAAAATTAAATTTAAAAAAAGGAGGCAAGGCCAAACAACTTAATAAGCATTTGTGACATAACAACTTAGTAGCCATTTGAAAAAAATAATACACGTAAAGTGAAAGCAAAAATAATATTTGAATTTCATTTTTAAATAACCATTACTTCTCAATGGGACCTATGTGCCCATTGGGCAATGTAAAACTTTTCAAACTACAGGATCAGATTGGATATGGCCACCCTCATTTCCCATTCCACATTGGCAAAAGTCAATCATACATATTGCTTCGTATTCCATTATCACAGCAGGTATAAGGGTGTATGGCTGGCTCAGTTGGTAGAGCATGCAACTCTTGATCTCAGGATCATGGGTTCAAGCCCCACAATGGGCATGGAGTCTACTTAAAAGAAAAACAAACAAAAAAACAGAACAGGAGGTACAGTTTGTCCCATTACTACTGATAATAAGTTAAATTCCTAACTAGGTGGTGACAGCCAGATCTCACCATTGTAAAAGCATGTTTTCCCCTGTGCATACTGTGGAGCAGTACTTTTTATCAAGTAAACAGTCTCTTCAACAATTTTTTAATCTAATGGTTTCAGTGTTCATGGATGATCTTGGACTGAATCAGTCGTTTCATTGGGGTGCAAAGAAGGGATTTTCTCATTCCATAATTTTTCCCACATTGATTAGTTGGCATTTTTCTGGAAAAAAGAACTGTCCCTATCTACTGGGGATAAACTATCATTTCTCCTTGAAAAGGAGGGTAAATGCTTAATTCCTTCCCTTTAATTACAAATATTTGTAGAAAAGTATTATCTAATAGTTACCTCCAGTGGTGGTAAATGAGCTTTTTCTTTCTCTCTTTGCTTTTCCTCTTTCCTTTAAAGTTCAAATATACTCATAAATATTTATTTATTTGTTGTAATCTTGCAATTAATTATACTCATTCTTTTTGATGTATAAGGTGTTCCAGATTTGGCCAGTTATAGCCCCTTCAAGTTGGTGCCTATGTCCTGTACACACCTCAGTAGTTGTTTTTTGGGGTTAAGATTTTATTTTTATTTATTTATTTGTTTGTTTGTTTAGAGCATGAGTGGGGGGAGGGGTAGAGGCAGAGGGAAAGAATCTCCAGCAGACTCCCTGCTGAGTACAGAGGCCCAACATGGGGCTCAATCCCAAGACCCCAAGATCATGACCTGAGCTGAAATAAAGAGTCAGACGCTTAACCAACTGAGCCACCCAGGTGCCCCCATCCCAGTAGTTGTTTAAAGTTTTGTTTTGTTTTTTAATCAAATAAGGCTACCACTATTACTCTTCTCTTTGGGGGTTTTCTTAGCTATTCTTGCTTGCTAATTTTTTCATTTTAGGATCAACTTCTATAGTTCTCTGGGGAAGGGGAACTTGATATCTTTATTGGGATCTCATTAAACTTATATATAAACTTGGGGATAGTTTTTGATGGAGAGTCATCTTATCCAAAGACATGGGACATCTTTCCATTTATTCATTGTCACGTTGGAATCTTTCAGAAGTTTCCCAAAAGTTGATTATATAAATTTATGCACATTTCTATTTTTATATATTTTATTTATGTGTTTTTGTTGCTATAGTAAATAGTCTTCTTATTTATTATCTTTTTATACTGCCTATTGTTTATATGACATCTATTGGGTTTATTTGTTCCCTTACCAAATA